GGAGCAGATGCCAAAAGTCAAGGACCCCTGAATTCTCTTATACAGACCTGCCACTGAATTGCTCTATGGTTTGAGTGATTTACATGCATCTTGATGCTTTTGCTTGACTTTGAGTGAAGAGGGATCATGCAAAGTCTTGCTTAGAGCATTTTAAAGATGCAGTGTACTCCGCAGAAGGATGAAGTATTTTGTTGCATTTGTTCCCAGACTGTGATATATAGGCTGCACATTGGCAGCTGGTGACCCTCCAAAACCACGTGGCTTTCGGTTTCCTTTTGACTGCCCTTCTTGCAGAAAAGATCTCATGAGTCTGTAAGAGCAAGTAGAAATGAAGAAAAGGAGACAGGCCACTTTGTGTGCTCTGGGCAGCTCCTGGCCATCTGCTGATACAAAACACGAGTGACAGAGGCTGTCTCTTCTTCCAGTGGGGATCCTTGGGCTCCTTTACACAGACTCTTGATGGACAGTGCATAGCAAATGGCTGTCCCTTTTCCAGGACCTTTTCCATGTCTCCAATCCATACTCTAAGAGCATTTCTGGCCCTTTGAGTGTTCCCAGCTCCAGTGTCTCTCCTGTAACTACTCCTCATGTTCTTTCTGAGCTTATTGGAGCATCCTCATCCCTACAGCACCACCCCTAGCACATACACAAACCCTTGGGCACTGCAGAGGCATCCAGGAGATTAAGATGCAATAAAAATCTGCTTTTATCAGTCCTGGCAAGGCTGTCTGTGCTGCCACCTATGGCAGCTGGACTGTCCAGGGAAGGACAGGTTCATGAAGGTTCATTTAGTGCATTTGCTGTGGTTTTAGCTGTGCAGCACTACCAAGTTTTTGCTGAGCATGTGTGCATTGCTAACCCAAAACATTTCAAAGACTCCCCACTGATTTTTTCTTGGGGCAAGGGATACATAGAAGGGAATTCTGTCAAATTTTGTTATGACTCCAAAGTGGGAGTTTGCCAATGAAAATGTCACTTCACTGCTTATATTGCAAAACAATTATTTACCACCTAAAACTTGTTTTCAGAAATAGCTGTGTGTTTGTGCAAAATTTCAGTAAAAAGAAAAATGACTATCCATAGGCAGATAACCAGAGAGACAGATGCCATTGCATGCAATCAGCATTAACCAAAGCAGCCAGCGATTGCTGGAACACTCTCACCAGGAGAAACCATCAGGCACCTCAGGAGTGGTGTGATGCCACCAAACCCAGATAATGGAAAACCAAGTAATAGAATCATTGAATCATTTAGGTCGGAAAAGACCCTTAAGAATGTTTAGTTCAACAGATAAACCAGCACTGCCTTGTTCACCACTAAACTGTCCCCAAGTACCACATCTACACATCTTAGAAATACCCTCAGTGCCAGTGACTCTACCACTCTGTGTGACACGGTGACTCTGCTCTCCCTGGGCAGCCTTTTTATCATTGTGGTGAAGAAATTTGTCCTTATATCCAAGCCAAACCTCCCCTGGCACAATTTGAGGCTGTTTCCTCCTGTAGTCTCATTTTTTACCTGCAAGAAGAGTTTTGTATAACCTCCTCTGTGGATGTTGTAAAGAACCATAAGCTGTCCCCTGAACTACCTTTCCTCCAGGCTGAGCCCTTCAGCTCCCTCAGCTTCTCCTCATTAAACTTGTGCTCCAGACCCTTCCCAAGCTCCATTCCTTTCTCTGGACACACTCCAGTACCTCAAGATCTTTCTGCAATTGAGAGGCCCAAAACTGAACCCAGGACTCAGGGTGTGGCCTCACCAGTGGCCAGCACAGGGGCAAAATCACTGCCCTTATCCTGCTGGCCACGCTATTGCTGGTACAAGTCAGGTGCCCTTGGCCTTTTTGCCCACCTGGACACTCTCTGACTCGTATTCTGTCACTGTTGACCATCACCTCCAAGTCCTTTTCCGCTGGAAAGCTTTCCAGCCGCTCTTCCCCCAGCCTGTGGTGTTGCATGGGGTTGCTGTGATTGAAGTGCAGGATTTCACCTTATTTAATCTCATGCAATTGGCCTCAGCCCCCTCAAGCAAATCAACACTCTCAACTCTCACCCAGCTTGATATTATCTGCACCAAATTTTGATCTCCCAAAAAAATGACTCCTCACAAAGACAGCATTGCTCCTGCCCCACCAAATCCCTGTGGTGCCTGCCTTCTCAGACATCCCTGATGGGATGGCTTGGCCTGGTTTCCTGCACAGCCAGTGAGCCCTCCCAGCAGTGCCACATGTACTGGATGTGCTGTCCTGCTTGATGTGTTTGTTTCAGGGGATTAGAAACATGCCTGAACCCAAGCACATGCTGGAAATGATGTTTCACACGCAAAGCAGTCTGGTTTGGAGGGAAATAGGTACATTTCTGTGATTAAATGAAAATAATTGGGGTTAAATAGGGAAGAAAATGAAATTTCCTTGCAATTACTTGGATTTGTTATAAGAAAGAATGACATATGTTTTCAGTTTTATCTTCTTTCTACAGTTTTGCCTCTATGTTTTTTCTCCTACTTTCAGAAATTAATTTGGGCTCCTTTGCCTCATTAATGGGAGATTACCTAGCTTGGCAAGAGGTTTTGTGTATTAGAAATGGGCTTTACTGATACAACTCTGAAACACTGATGTGCTCTTTAGTTCCAAAACCTCCTTCTGCCAAAACCCAAGCAGAATAGCATGTCTATTTCCCTAAATTATTATTCAAACATAAGGAAGTAATTTTTTTTTTCTCAATGGTTTCGGTGTTAAGGAGCAAAGAAAGCTGCTAACAGTGTCTGCTCCCCATAAATCCTCCCTCACTTTGTGGTTTTTCCCCAATTACCCAGGTAGGGTTTTTTAATCAGATGATTACTGGGATTTGTGAGAATAGTTTATTTGATGCACTTTGTTCTATAAACACCCACTTTCAAAAAACCCAGAAAATTCAGTTGTAAAGTCTAAAATTTCAAGGTGTTTTTGGGTGCAGATCACCACCTGAATTATCCACTTATACTCTGGTGAGGCACACAAGTCCTACAAAAGTTGTGACAGAAGTAGTACAAGAGAGATGTGTTGATGGTTAAAAGAGGACAATCCCTAAGAGAGAAATTTCCCCTCTTCTCTTCTCTTCTCTTCTCTTCTCTTCTCTTCTCTTCTCTTCTCTTCTCTTCTCTTCTCTTCTCTTCTCTTCTCTTCTCTTCTCTTCTCTTCTCTTCTCTCTCATTCTTACAATTATTCTATCCTGTTACTATTAGTTTTGCTCTTTCACTTCTTCTTGTCATCCTCTGCATCCATTAGGAAAAATTTATTTGTCCACAAAAACATCCCCAGAGTGAACACAGATGCCAAAATTCCCATCCTTGTCTCCAGTTGTGTCCAGCTGCTCTGGAAACCCCTAACACTGGTCCTGCAGAAGTTCTGGCAGCCTTCAAGCTCCTGATATGTTTTGCAAAAGCAGATGTTACTAATTTGTAAAGCATCTTTGAACTTCTCAAGGGGGGCTGACACATTTAGTGTTGTTTCTAACCAAATGGGGATTGGTTTTTTTTGTCTTTCTGTTTTTCACCAGGATGTTTTTTGGGTTTCTATATCATCTCTTGACAACCCATGCAGCTGTGCCAACCACCTCTTCATTTCTGCATCTCATCTCTCCCTCATAGCTTTTCAAGAGGAACATACTCAATCATGTCTTTCCCATTGCTCTTGGAAATGACATGAAATGTTATCCTTTTTGCAGGTCTTCAGATGAGCTGATCCCTGAAATTGTTATGGAGTGGGTCTAAAAATTATAGCATGTGTCAGGTGGGCCCTGTGTGACATGTACCAGCCTGGGTAGACATAACCCAAATTCCTCATTCCACTTGTGTTTCCTGCATGTGCAGCCTTCCTGGTCACCCTCTGGATACTGTCACCAGCAGAGACAAGCAATCAATGCTGACACTTTAATGGCATTTTTATTTAGGTTTGACATTCCCCTGTTACTTGTCAAGAGGGTTAACTTGTGACCTGACCTGACTGCTAGTCCTTATCTCTGGAAATGATCCACACCCAAGCAGGAATGAAAGGAAACAATCTTTTTAGGTTTTGTACCCAGTGAGACCATTTGGGGTTGCATTTGGGGAGGTTCTTTTTGTTTTCTTTGCAGAATAAACAAAATTCTCACAAAACTTACAAGGAGAACAAAATGTTTTACTTTTCTTTTTTTTCTTTTTTTTTTTTTTTTTTTGGAGGAAGACAAAGGGGGAATCAGGAAGAAAATTCCAATCTTTTCATCAAGCAACAAAAAAAAACAGCCAAAAGAAAAAGATATTCAACACTGTGTTTTGAAAACCTTTAAGAGTAGCAAAGATGTAACTATATTAGTTATACTTTCTCAGCTTTATACAAACAATTATAAAACATGAATGAATACCAGAGGGAATATTTTTCTTAACAAAAAATTAAAACACAAGCTTTTAATACCTATCCCAGGAAAACCAGTCCATTTATTTATAGAAACCAGAAAATAAAACAATAAAAAGTAGTTACTTTCCTATGGATTTAAATTTTGGAGTTAAAAATCTCTTGATGGCTTCTAGGGAAGCCTAAGTTCTGTAATAATTCTTAGGAAACAGCATTGCTGACTCCAGCAGAAAACAATTCAAATTGTGGTGATGTGGGAGGCAGAGCCTTTGAAACTGGTGGAGCTTGTGGAGGAGTCAGAATCTTAAGAAATGCCAATATTATTTCTAAAGGGAGAAAAAAATGTATTTCCAAAAGGACCAAGACTGGAAGGTAGTGAGAGTCAGCTTCTGTGTTCTGCTTGGACTGAAGCTCACATTTGAAAGCTGATATGGGCTTTTCCAAGTGCAGGGATAGTTTCAAGCATTAACATTATCAGCTACGGATACTGATGCCTAAAACTCCACTGCTTCAGCAGAAGTCAGTTTGCAAATGCCTAATAAAGGATATGATGGACTTTTCTTTTTTTATGAGATAATCAAGAAACAGATTTTACTTCATATTTTAAGAAATTAACTATATCAAATGTGTAATAAAAATATTTTCTATAGGATTTTAAAATATATACATATATAAACTACCTAAATTTTTAATGCCCTGTTGATATTGATGTGGTCTCTACAGGTTTTAAGTGTAACTAAGTGAGGCTGCCCAGCAACCTCCATTATACCTCAAACAGTGAATACAAAACTTGAAGCTTTGTCCACACTGTAACTTAAACCTGCTTGAGAATGGGATCTGAAATTTCCTGCTGGACCTGATCCAGCACCCACTCATAGGCTAAGTCCACTCCTGACTGCAGGATTAGGTCTTAGACAGTCCTGAAATTATGTAGTTTCCAACCTGCTTGGCTGACCAATGATAAAGGCACCTGAGTGAGTTACTGAGAGCCTTGAGGCACTTCCTGGAAAAATGAAAGTTGCTATATATTTGATTTAGAATAGTTAAGGATATACAGGAACAGTCTTAAGACAGTTTGGGCACATCTATACTTCGTGCTGAAGAGAGGCACAAACTGCCTGAGTCTCAGTTGTAGCCTATGCCCAGGCACTGGATGTAGACTTGAGTCAAGCTCAAGCAAGGTTGAGAGCCTGGGGGTGAGCAAAGGGCATCCATGCATTCCTCCTTCCCACAGCATCCATCCCTAGATCCCAAGTCTTGCTTGCCCAGCCCATGAGAAGGAGGTAAACTGGCAGGAAGAACTCCTGCGTCAAGTGCCTGCAATGGCCCAGAGGGCTGGGCTGGCACTTCCATCAAAGACAACCTGGAGGTGGTGGAGGTGAAGGTGGGTGAGGGAGGAGAAGCACAGATGACTGTCTGGTCCTGTGTCCACTGAGAACAGCGAGGACATGGCTTTGGGCAGTTCCAAATCCAGCTGGCATTCCTGTTTAAACTGGCACCGTGTCTAAAGCGAGTTCAGATTCATTTTCCATGCAAGGTTTGAAGCACAGCGTAGACAAAGTGTGAGGGCCAGACCCTGATCTAATGCAGACAAAATTCACCATTACCACTGGCCTGAGCACTTACCCTTGCATTATACTTTAAGGTAGGTACCATGGGAGTTTTCCTGCTTCAAAGAGTTAATATAGGGGATTTGACCACCTGCAGAGGAAAGTTTCTCACTGAGCTTTCGGTTCACCAGCTCCATGTGCCTGGAGTTTTTCCTGGCTTGCCGGAGAGACCTCTTGACTTTCTTCACTCGATCTCGCAGCTGCTTGTTGCGCTTCTCCAGCGACGCCACTTTCTGCTGCAGCTTCTTCACTCTGTCCTCCTCCTCAAACAGGGCCTTCTGCACCGAGGAGCACATGAGCTGTGGGGACAGCAGAGGTGAGCTTTACACAAAAAAGTTATCATAACAAGGGTTAATTCAGACACTGCAGAAAACACCTCACAATTTCTCAAAAGCAAAATGCTTTTTTGGAGTAACTTTTACTTTACTTTTATTTTTAAGTAAAATCCTCTCTTTCACTAATGGATTTAGTTAAAACCCAAAATTGTAAATATTAATGATAACAGTGATTCAAAATTACTTTTATGAACTGTTTTTTCAGACCTGTCCAGTGCACTGAGGCTACAATGAGTTTATGAAGAAAGGCTGCCCTGGTATTAAACTCAGGTAAAGAGATGTCACTTTTGGAAAACTAATTTTGATTCAGCTCAGTAGCCCTTCAGAAACCCCAGACTCTGATGAGAGCCTGCCCGTTGCTCTTTGTGTCAACATGTGAAATGAGAACAGCACCTGCCAAACACAGAACTTGTTATTTTGCCTTTCCAAGAACAGAGGTATCTTCAACAACCCATTATATTGTCTTGTTTAATAAAAATCCCTAGAGGGTAAGATCTCAGCAGTGTCTAGGAGCATCCATGATCCCAGAACTCTAGCAGAAGTTATTATTTAGAGGGTCATTGCCTGAAAACTTCCCCTTCCACTCTACCCTATACAACTTACTGCAATCTTGCCCCCAGAAGGGACATCAAGTTCTTGATGTTCACTCATGCCAGTGGCTCTTAGATACAAAATAAAAAAGAGAGGTGGTTTCAAAGGTACTGCCCCCAAGGCATCACTAGAAGAATACCTCACAGGGCATTTTCAAATTCACTGGGTTGGGTGATGGTACAATTACAAAAGATCTGTTGGACAAGTGTTCATCTTCTACTACCTCATCCTAGGATGACCCAAAAGATCTCACTTATCTCATGGCATGTTTATGGTCTCACTTGTTTCCTGCTTGTAGATGCAGCAATAGGAGTGGGATGACAAACACCAGCCACAGGGCTGCTGAATAGTTTCAATGCAAGTAAGTTCAGTTTCCAACACACAGCCTCACTTGGCATGGGATTCAGCTGCATTCTGTTAAGCAGCTAAAAGTGAGACCCAGGCCTGGGCTCCTCTCTTTGCATTTTTCCCCTGTAATGTCTGCAGGGAGAGACACCCTTCCAGGGGCTGACTTGCACCTTCTAGAGCAGAGGGAGGAATCACCCTCTGAACACAACCCTCTCCTTTTACTGACCACAAAGACACCAAGTTCCATTTTTTTTCTACCTGGAACACATTTTCCAGATAGAAAAAGATGAGCTCAAGGACAGCTCCACCAAAAAGTTTCTGATTTAGAAGATCCACATCAAAATTAATTTCTCCTCAGATGCCTCCTGCTTTTTTTTTCCCTACAAAAAACATCCTGAGATATTTTATTGTGCATGTGGGACTTTCATCTTGCTGCTGCACTGTGAGGACAGGCAGAGCATTCTGCTGGATTTATCTTCGAAATATGTCTAGAAATTTTTCTATGTGTGTCAAGCACTCCTGGAGTTTGGATGGGCTTTCTCTGGCAGAACATTTGGAACAGACAGGGAATCTAAATAAACAAGTAAATCCTGACTGTGATGATGAAGGATTACATGTTTCTTTCCATCTTACTTTGTAGTATTTTCAACAACTGAAAGTTGGGGAGGGAGCCTGCCTTGATGAATAACATTTCATTTGCTTTGGAAACCCCCAGCAGTGGGAAACCATGGCCAGTCAACACAAACACAGCAACTGCTTCCACTCCCTTGGAAGCTCTTGTTCCTTGCGCAAAAGCACTGCAGGGTTTTGCTATATGGCAAATTCTTATCCCAACTGTTCTCTCACTAGGGTTCTTTTACAAATGAATGCTAGCGAGATGGGGAGCTCACAGATAGAGGGCCAGGAATTGTGTTGAAAAGGAGAGTTTGGTTTTGATCACAGTTCATTCCAAGAGCTCTTTGAAAACAGCCAGCACATCTTGGCTTTTGTGTTTGCCAAACCCTTGCAAAACCTCAAGCAGAACACTTCTTGAATTTAAATCCCCATAAAGGAGGACACTGAGTTAGGGAAATATGTTTGTTGGGAAGACATGAGGTGGAAACTCTGCTTCTCAAGTGATTTCCTGCATTTTCCATGGATGCTGTGATAGGTATGGCCTATGCCAGAGTCCAGTGCAGAGGAACAAACACTTCATGCAGCTGAAGTGGGAGGCTGTGTGAACCCAACTGCATTTCTGTCTGGGCTGGCTGATGAGGGAATAGCAAACATCTGGGATGGTATTATCCTCATCTCAGAGACACCCCCAAACATTTTAAGGTTGGTCCTCTGTCAGCAGAGGTAGACCTGCTCTACAGAGCCACTCAGAAACTTCTCAAACATCATCAAAAAGCTAACCAACTCGTTTGCTTATACTATTTTTCTACAGTCCTCACTCTCCAGTCTGAAACACACAGTCTAGTGCTTAAATTATCTGGAGATATCCAGAGACATCACGGGAACAGCACAGTTCTAAAAAACAGAGGTACTCTCTGACATGCACAGCTTTGTTTGCCAACAGGGTAGGTGATAAGAATAGCCCAGCTTGATAACTGGATGCCTGCCTGCAACTGTAAGACTACCAGCTGGAAAATAAACACTTTGTTCCTTCTGCATGGGGAAAAATAACAAGTGGAGTTCTCTCATTCTCACTGGCAGGTTACACATAACATTTTTCACAGGACTCTGCAGTGGGGATGATGATGATGATGATGTTTAAGTGTGAGCGCTGTCCTGCCTTTGCTGTTACTGCCTGGGGCTGTGATTCACCTGACTGCAGCCAAGTTATCCTTAAACTTATGCTGAGAACTGTGTTACTGTGACAGCTGAGAGCTCAGCACAGCCTGGATAACCAACCCAGCTGCTGAACAAGCTGGTGAAAAGTTAAGCAGTCCAAGTAGCTACTTGGATGCTTGGGAAATGAAGAGAAGGACAAGGAAATGGCTCCTTAGGCAAACCTTATAGTTAATTTTCCAAATTCCCTTCAAAATTTGAATCCCTTAATGGCCATAATTCAGAAGAGTTGTTTGGTCTGAAGATCTGTCTGCATGTCTCCTTGTTCCACAGTTTTGTTAGGAAGGCATCCTCAGCAGTGGTACACTCAGGTTCAGAGCAGTACCAGGAGATGTCATGAGAAAGGTGGCACAAGAACCATACAGATCCTGAGGATTTATCCCAGACAATCTACAGCTGTGAAACAGTTATAAATATATTTGAGTATTCATCTGAGAGACCACATCACAAATCAACCGAGTTTAAAGTTTCACCATACCTAGGAGATTTACAAAATCTGCCAAAGAAATCAGCATGTAATAAATAGAATAGAATCACAGAATCATTGAGGTTGGAAAATACCTCCAAGATCATCCAGTCCAATCACTAATCTAACAAACTGATTTTGAAGCATCACATTAGAGGCATGCACGCCCCTTACCAAACACCCTGAATTGATATATATAAATATATATATATATATATATGTATATACACTTATTGACAGATACACACTTGCCTTCTACAAGCTTGAGTGGCCCAGTGGATAAAGGTGCCATGGATAAGGGTGTGATGGTAGTGTTCAACCACCACAAAATGTCCAAAAGTGGTTGAAGTTAGTGTTACAGAACTCAAGTCACTCAAAACCCTGCAGTGGCACCCAAGTCTTGCTCTTCACTTACCCAAGGGACTGATGTTGAGTCCCAGCTATCTCCTCATGCATGCTCCTTATGGCAATAGTGCTGAAAAACACTGCAGTCCCACTACCTAGAAGTCTGTCCTGTGTGAGCGAGTGTGTTGCATGGAAAGAAAGACAAGGAATCAAAGAATAATGGGAGAGCTCTGGCAGAGGGGAGTATTGGGTTTGGGATGGAGTGACTTAACCTCCAGTTACTGGGATTTTTCAGCCAAGACTAACACTTGTGCTGAAGTGTGGAAAAGTCCCTGTCAGCACTGTTAAAGCCTCGTGTTGGGTGAAGTGCTGGGGCCATGGCAGTGGTGAGTTAAACCACCTTTGCTTGCTGCAAGAAATGCATTTTCAGAGGTACAGAATTGGGGTCCCAAGGACATATCCAGCACCACTGACATTAATGGACATGAGCTGGGATTTCATCCTAGGAGCTCATATGAATCAGCAAAATGCATATCCCATCTCCTGGATGGAGAAAGAAATTGTTGTGGCTGTTGTTACCTTGCTGAGTGCTGGGTCAGCATTTGCCACAAGAAGTGTAATGTTTGTAGCACAATTCTCCAGTTCATTCAAAATATTAGAGATAGGAATTTCTTTGGGGTATGAAACTCTGCCTACAGGAAGACTCTGCCAGGTTACACCCACCCAGAAGTATCTCAGCACTGTTTTTCTTCCTCATTTTACTCCTCACTAAAAGTAGATTTTCTCTTTAAGCTCCTTAGATGCAGCTAGTCAAGGGAAGTTATCTTTCCCAATAGTCATCAGAGAGGAATGGGCACATCCTCAAGGAGGTATCTTGCACACCTTAGACACTTCCCTTCAGTGGGCAACCTTTGGAGACTCCTGCCTAGATAACTATCTCAGACTGGGATGCATCTCACTGAGAGTCCCATCAAATGCCAGCTGAATGACACTGACTTCCCAGGGCAGGCTGCAAGGGCAGGATACAGATAATTTTCTTGGAGTTTAGATAAATTTGCCCTGGAAACAGACACAAATCCATGTCCATAGGCACTTGGAGGTCTTTAAAACGAGCTTTTTTCTGATCTGCATCAAACCACTGCTTGGTGTGAAGGTATCTGAACTGCTGGTGGCTCTCACCTGCCGTGGGTTTTGCTGGCATCCATTGCAAAACCCCACACTTCCCCTTCAAGCTCACAGGCCTTACACCCCTGTTCTGGCTGGCAGTGGTTTTACAGGATGCAGAGTCATTACAGGGCACTTGAGAACTGGTGAAAAGAGCTTCAGACATGGAGGTACCTGAAGAGAGGTATCCAGCCCCAAAACCACACCTAGAACTTGTCCT